TGAAGGAGGTCAAAGACCTAGAAAGTCGGTTAGGCTAGAATGACCAAGGATAAGAAATCCTATAAGACCATGATCAAGCAAGGGTCTTAAGCCACCAGGAGGATCTAATACACGTTAAAAACCAAGCGAAGATGAAACTGCCAATCTCGTCATGTGATTCGCTGTAAAATTAGTTTGCGAGTCGATTTCAAGCATTCTTGTTTTTAATCGGAACTCAAATTTATAATTTTCAAAACAAATGCTAAACCTCCAATAAGTTTCTCACAAGTCATAATCCTTATTCCACCCAAGGTAGTATTTGTGCTTGCAACGGCAACAACAAAAAAAAAAAAGTATATAATCTAGCTTACAACTTATATCATTAGCTAAAATATTTTGTATTCAAACAAGTTTAGTCTAATCAAATAAGATTTATTTGATACGACGATATTTTTTTACAAGTTAGAGCGTATCTTATAAACTTTCTTAAATAAGTTCATTAAATTTTTTATTTTAACTAATTTATTAATAATTTTATTATATAAATTTGTTTCTCAGCCATAAATTATAAGATATAAGCTAGCTCGAGCAACTTAGATTTATCAAACATATAAATCAAAATAAAAAATAATGATGCCATTTCATAAATAATGTATTTGGAAAATTAAAATTGTAAATTACACTCTTTATTTTTTAGCTTCAGACGGCAATAGATAAGATTTTTTTTTTTCCCACTTCTCAGGAGTGCTCCAAGCCAAATAATGGTGGCGGGGGCGGCTGACGTGGCTCTCCTCCGCTTCTCCTCCACCATTCCTTCTCTTTCTCCGCCGTCTCCTCCTCGTCTCCGGTTCACCTTCACCAGACCCAAATCATTTACTAGTAAGTTCAGTCATCATTTTTTTCTTCTACCCACTTAGCCGCAATTTATTATTATTATTATTTTTTTATGGTGAAAGAAAACTAACAACCCTAATGTAAAGATCCAATTTTTATGTCTCTAAATAATCAGATCTTCCATTTTCTGTGTGTTTGTTGGAGATTCTTTTTGTGGGCCATTTGATTTCTCTAATATGTTGCAAGTATACAGTTTATGGAAATTATTACTCACGATGAACAAATGTGACATTGCATTTGGGTGAAAATTTGCTGGTGATATAGTAATTTATTTGATTTTACTTTGATGTGGAACATGTAGAAGAAGATTCTCAATTGGTAATTTTTACTAACTTTTCTTGTCACTTTTTTTTTTTTTGGATAAATAATGGAGGGTATTCAAAAGTGGTGGCCTCTATGAGTGAGGATCCGATTCGTGAATGGATCCTCTCAGAAGGAAAGGCAACTCGGATAACCGGCACTCGTTCTGTTGGCGGAGGTTGCATTAATCGAGCTACTCGTTACGATACTGATGCCGGCTCATTCTTCGTCAAAACAAATAGGTTTGCTTGTGTGGCACTCGATCTATTCTTGGTCCATAAATTCGACACCATTTTGAGTTACAATTAAAAACGGGTTGTTGAATAAATGTCTAGTTTGATTCCACAAAATTCAAGATTTGTAATGTTTGTGAAAATCATTAGTTTGTTTTGACTGAGGTTTTATGATTTGCCTAACAGGAGTGTTGGTCCATCTATGTTTGAGGGAGAGGCATTAGGCCTCAGTGCCATGTATGAAACTGGATCCATACGTGTACCTAAACCGTTCAAGGTAAAAAGTGCCCACAAACTCTTTTTGCTCTATCTCTTTAGATTTGGAATGTGGTTATGTGAGAGTTGACCTTTGTAAAACTCTTCTGCTCGAGCAAATTAGGTTGGACCTCTGCCAACTGGTGGCTCGTACATCATCATGGAATTTATCGAGTTTGGTTCATCGTGGGGCAATCAAGTAAGAGCATGATAAAACCCATTATCTGTCTCTTGAACTTCATTCATTTGTATTTTCAATACATTTTTCTGTTCGGACATTTGACATTTTTCCAGTCCTTTAGTCTGAACTAGGAAGGAAGCTTGCTGGAATGCATAAGGCAGCAAAATCTGAAAAGGGTTACGGTTTTGATGTTGACAATACAATTGGGAGGTAATTTGACGTACATTAAATTGTTCTACACATTGCCAATTATTCACTACACACATATTTTCAAAGACTAAAATCTTGAAAATGTATTTGTTTGCAGTACACCACAAATAAACACGTGGACTTCGGATTGGATTGAATTTTATGGTGTGCATAGGTTGGGCTACCAACTGAAGCTAGCACGACAACAATACGGAGATTCCTTAATTTACGAAAAAGGTTAGTTTCGTAAACTGGAAAGAGATTCCATTCATTTTTCTCGCCTTTTTAGACGCTTGGTGCTAATTTTAAATGGAAAATTGTGCCTTCTATTTTGTGAAAAACATCTAAAGGGCAAAGGCTTGTAAAGAGCATGGCACCATTATTTGAAGGTGCTGTACTTGAGCCTTGCCTGTTACATGGAGATTTGTGGAGTGGGAATATAAGCTCCGACAAAAATGATGAACCAGTTATACTTGACCCGGCTTGTTACTGTAAGTCCTTGTTCACTTGTATTGCTTTTTCTCCTCAAGAACACTATCAATACTAGTTATAGCGCTCAAAAAGTACTAATCCTGGTTCCAACCTACTGCAAATCACCGGGCTTTAACCTTTGGATCAACACACACATACCCACACACTCGTGTGTTGAACCAACAGGAAAAAACCCAATTACTGCACTGCAGTAGGGTCGAATGCAATTGTCCGGTCTGATTTACATGGTCCCTCTCTCTGGCAAAATTGCATTTTTAGTCCTGCTGCTTTAACGTCATAGGACCCAATTTTCCAACTTTTCGCCTTTTGGTTCTGTGCTTTAATATTTTGCTGCAATTTCAGTCCTCACATGATTGGAACTGCAACAAATTTTTAAATTACATGACTTGACTTGAATTGCTAATAAAAAGATCCAACCCAAGGATATAAATTTGGGAATTTGTTGCAATTTCAATTGGACTGAAATTGCAACAAAATATTAAATCACCATACCAAAAAGGAGAAATGTTAGAATCTTGAGATTAAAATTGTCTTCACGTTGACGTTAAACCAACATGACTAAATTGCAATTTATCCGAATTAATCTATCTATCTTTTTAAAATGTAGATGGACATAATGAGGCAGAGTTTGGAATGTCATGGTGTGCCGGATTCGGAGGATCATTCTACGACGCATATTTTGAGGTAGCTTTATTTTCTTTCACCCTTTTCACATTATTCAACACAGTTAAAGTATTGCCATGTTTTTCAGTGAGAAATCAATTTAATTAGGTCAAGTTCGATTTATATGCTTACATTTCAACTTACATCTTATTGCTTATAGGAGCCTCTGCATATATATCAAGTTTGTAACTTTATGCGTGTTACTCACTTAAATCCGTGCCTCTATACATACCAAGTTTGTAACTTTACGTGTCTATTCACTTATAACATCGTTTGTGTTTCCAATTTGTAATGCTATTATACGAATTTCTAATTAAATCGTTCGTGTTAGGTGATGCCTAAACAACGTGGATTTGAGGAAAGGAGGGATCTTTACATGCTTTATCACTATTTGAATCACTACAACTTGTTCGGGTCTGGTTACCGCTCTTCGGCCATGTCCATAATCGACGATTACTTGAGGATGTTGAAAGCTTAGATTGTCTTGTTTTTGTATGATATATTGCTTTGTTTTTTTGGCTCAACTGCAAATGCTATCTTTGTCATTTATTTGATTTGATTTTATTTTATTTTCATGTAGGCAAAACTATTTCAATGTAAAAAATCTGACTTGCGCCGTAGTATGTTTGGTAACCAAATAAGCTAGTTTTTAGCTTATTTGGATAGTTTGTAAGGTTCTTGTATCCAAATGACCCACCACACATTTTTTGCACGAATTCCATTTAAAACGTTTCTTTACCAAACAAGCGCTCAATTAATTAATTGGAGGACAATTTAATTATGTTTAAATTTTCTTACATTTCAGTAAAATCTATATATATATATATATATATATATATATACTAGTACAACACCCGTGTATTACACGGGTGCTTGCTAAATTTTTTCTTAAAATTTAAATTAATGAGAAAAAGTAGTTTGAAAATTTAAATATCTTTTATATGAATATATATATATATATATTATATATTTATTATGATACTTTTTATTTGTGCGACTTACTTGTGTTATATTATACCAATTCTTTAACTTACACTATATAACTACATTAAATATAAATATAACAATTGAGAAATAATTTTATTTTTCTAATGAATTTTAATAAATATTATTATTTTTTATTATTATAAATATAAATATAATTTATTTATTTTATATATACAATATGGATGTCAAATCGAAGATCATCAAAAGATGATTAATTTGATATATTATATATGTAAAACCGATAAGAAATACAAAAGTTATATACTTTTAAAATACATTTATAATTCAATAGCTTATTGAAGGAAGCAAATCAAAATTTAGGGATATATTAGTCACTTAGTGTCTCACTATGTAAAATTATAAATAATTAAAGGGTTATATTAGTAAAAGTGATATTAAAATACCTAAGTTAGCTAAATAATATTTATGGAATACCCGAACCTAGATTATTAATTATTAATATATTAATATTATTTGTCCAAACCTAATTACGAAGCATGATTTTTCGCCAAATAGGATTCCGAAGCACCAGAAGCAGCCACGTAGGCTCAGCGCATTCTGCAATTATATATAGGGAGGATATATATATTTACTAGCTAATAGCATTTAATAAAATCGATTTAATTTTACCTATGTGGCAACTTAACCCTTTTTCCCTCCAAAAATTGTTACTTTTGATGTATTTAATTTTTAATTTAATTATTAAATAATAAACACTATTTACTTCAAAATTACAAAAATCATTTGAAACTTTTGATTACTGACAGTTGACCATATAATGTGTCGACCGTATAATGTGATTAGATGTTATTATTGTGGTTACATTTAAATTAATTTTTTTAAAAATAAAAAAACGTATTTGAAATTCCTAAATAAATAATAAATAATTCAAAAAAAAAAAGACGTACCCAAAAATATACATTACATCCAATCAGATAAACGCAATTTAAAAAAAAATAAATATTCCAACTCCTTTAATTGTAAATTTGTCCAGCAAAATGTTGAAAGAAAATAATTAATCATTATCTGCATACAAATAACTCAAAATACTTTGTTCACATCTGTGCAAATGCACAAAGTCGAATATTAGTTAATTTTATTTTACAGATTGCGATATTTAATACCGGCTATTCCTAGGATGCTAGCAACACATTTTATTCAAATTTTAGCAATAACAAATGCCAACTTTTTATTTTTTGCAAATCGAATTAAAATGAAAGAGTTTAAGTTGAATACTAATATCAATTGCATCCCACACAATTCGATTCGTAAAATCGAAAGCTTGTCGATGTGTAGTGCTGTTAAATTAAACGAGTCTGGCTCGGCTCGGCTCGGCTCGTTAAGGCTCGGTTCGATTCGAGTTCGAAGCCTTAACGAGCCGAGCTCGAGCTCATTTAAAACTCGTTTGGTTAACGACCCGAGCTCGGCTCGCCTCGATAAGGCTCGTTAAAGCTCGAAAAGTGAAATTTATGTAATTTTTTATAGTTTTGCTCGTTAAATCTCGAGATCGGCTCGTTAAAGCTCGAGTTCGAGGCCTTAACAAGCCGAGCTCGACTCGGCTTGTTATAAGCTCGAGCTCGAGCTCAAACACCTTAAGCTCAAGCTCCGCTCGGCTCGGCTCGGCTCGGCTCGACCCGTTTATAGCCTATTAATGTGTAATTTAATGAAAACGATTTTGATTAATACCGACTCTGCACAGTTCAACAAGAAAAAAATTGCATAAATACCAAAACTACCCTCCACAGAATAAATACGGAAACAGAAAAACGAATCAGACACGCAAACGCACAGTAATGGAGATGGAGACTGAAACGTCGTCGTCTCCGGCAGCAGACTTAATCACAGCTCTAGAGCAAGCAACCCTAATGGCCAAGCAGCTCCCAATAGCCGCCGATCCTTCTCACATCCACCAAATCAAGGCCGCCCTCAACTCCGTCCACCGCCGCCTATTACCCTTCCTCTACCCCCCGCCGCAACCTTCCGCTCCGCCGAGATCTCAGCCGGAAAATTCCGTCTCCTCCGCCGTCGGCGGAGGCGGAGGTGACGAGCCCATGGAGGCGGCGGACGATGACGGGGAGGACGAGCAGGACTCGAGGTACGTCGAGACGGTGGAGGGGAGGCTGAGGGCGTGCTCGATACAGAACAAGAGGCTCAAGAGGCAGCTCTCGCCGTCGGCGGCGGCTGATTGGCGGAGGAAAGGCGGGGACGTGGCCGTGTTGGGCGGCGCTCCGGCGGCGGGGTTCGATCCTGTTGGGACTAAGCTGAGCTCTCTCGATCTTATCTATCAGTTCCATGCTTGAGTTTTTCTCCCTAAAGAAGTATTTTTTTTTCTTTTTTTTTGAACATTTTTAATTTGTAATTTGTATCCTACTGAAGAAATAAAAAAATAAATCACTCCTTTTACTGTCTTGTTAGAAAGCTTGAGCCTTTATCAAGAGTTAACAAGCCTAAAAAATGAAACTCGAACCTTTGTCAATGAGCTTGAAGAGCTGAACAAATATGAATTATCGGCAAATGCTACTGTCCTATGGGAGCTAATGAACCTCCTCTATTCCACGCCGCCGGCGATTTCCTCTCCTCCGCCGTCAAATTTCTTCTGAAGTTTAACATCCAAAAAAAAACCCAACAGATTAATTATTACTCGGACCCTTAAAAGCTCTAAACCCCAGAGGCCGCCTCGCAGGAAATCACTCGGCCAGGTAATCCATTTGTGCCATAAAATTCATAAAAAAATGCTTCTTCTTACTGTAACTAATCTGGGCATTGTCTGTTTTATTTTATGTCCTTTTTAGTTCTGTTTCCATATAGCAGTACATGGTGAATGAGGAGCTGGAAATTGGGCCGGGTACGGGCTGTTTGCGTAACGCACTTGTCATTGCCGGTGCATATGTTCTTGCTATTGAAAAGTTCGAACTTTTTAGTCTGTTTTGTTATATTTTGGATTTGTTATTTGAAGTTTCTCAATTGCTTTAGGTATGGATATTATGGTTGATTGGTTGTGAAGAGTGTGCAGATGCTTTTTTCTTTTACCCGTATGAAATTTTGAGTTTCTCTTGCATGATTTATGACTAAAACTTCATCTCTTGCCTAGATTTCGGTGAATTTCACCCTACCACGTGGGATTTTAACAGTTGGATCAGCACACACCCACATGGGTGTGTGTTTGTGAGTGTGTGTGTGTGTGATCCAACAGTTAACACCCTCGTGGGGACTAGGATAAACATACCCAAGATTTCATCTTTGTGCAAAAAAAAGAAAAAGATGAACAAGAGTTCATTCTTTTTGCATAATTTGTCTTGACTTGAGTTGAGCTTTTGTCTGTAACTTCTTGTTGTGCCACATAATCTTGACTATTTGAAAAATGCATCATTTTTTCTCATTTTGATTTCATTTGCCGTATAAGTCTTCTATCAAGATCCGAACATGGCAGCGCGGGCAGGGAACATTTTTTTGCTTTGATTAGGACGTATCGAGGTACTGAATTTGATGGCTAAACTAAACATGTTAGCACATGATGTGATCTTTGTTTCAATCCATCCATGTCTTGTCTTGATTAATTAATGATCACAAGCAAAATCCACTCTTGAAAAACTGGCTGGTGTTTTTCCAAGATAGAATTTTGAGACTTTTAACAAATCTTTTCTTCTTACTTTTCTCTCTGTGAAACCGTTTATCTTTACCTGTTTCCTGTTTTGTTAGTGTTTGCATTAATTTGGATATGTTTGCGCAATTGTTTTACGCTCTGCATAAACGATTCGTGAGAAAAAGGAAAAGGAAAATTTATTGCCATGGAAGCATTTATCTTATTAACTTGGTAGGAGGCAAAAGTGTTTGATTTTCTCTATTATAACATGTACGTTTTCGAAGAGGATTTCAAGAAATGTCATATTACATGTATAAATAAGCACTTATTTTCATTCTTGATTCTTTAATTTGATTCTATATATATATACACACAATCCAGTTTCATGTGTATTTTCTGCCTTCAGTTAACTCGACGGCCCGACTGATTTCTTAAGCACTTCATTGTAAACTTATTGTTTGTGTTTTGGAAAGAGGCATTTATGATGTATCAAAAATTGATGGATATTGAGCTCTGTTTCTTGATAACTTATTTGTGAATATTTGAAAAAAAAAAAATTCTGTTCTGTTTTCTCGTCCATATAGCACTACATGGTGAATGAGGAGCTGGAAATTGGGCAGGGTACAAATATATCTGCATCGTCCAGTTCAATCGCCTTGGTATAGTGTAGAATTGCGGTTTCGAAATCCTTCTTCTTGTACGCATCATTCCCAGACTCTTTGTTTTTCTCCATGGCGGTATTTTGCTTGTGCTCGTCCTCCAAGACTTTTCATAGCCTCAGTTCGTGCTTTTCATTCCCGAATACTTTCAAATATGCCTCCTTTTTACCTTTGTATTTTTCTTCATAGGGCTTCTTATCTTCATTAGTGGCAGTCTTCCATTTCGAGGCCAACAGAGATGATATCTCCTTGAAATCGGCCTCTGGATTAGCTTTCTTTACATTTACATCCAACAAACCAAACAAGAGGCAACTCTCAGTAAGGTAATCAAATAAAATAAAAATTAATTATACTTATATTTATAAATTATGTGTTTAGTATAGTTAAACCATAAATATTTTACGCCTTTTCATGTTTATTGTATAACCACAACTATACCTTACATTTAAGAAACAATATATATAAGTTTACAACAATAAGATCACCTTCACTAATTATAAATCAATATAAATAAAAAAAAAAATAAACTAGCAATAAATTAATATGTACATATAAGAAAGACTTTTTCATGAATAAATCAGTATACCTCGTGCCACTACTTTTTACACTACAGAGCATAAGGAGGGCATGGCTTCTCTGTGGAACTCTTCTTTTTCTCCTTCTTTTCTTTTCTAGCTCTTGATCTTTCAGTGTGAAACCACTAGGGAAAGTTAAAAATGAAAACACTTCTCATGAGAAGGCAACAATGATAAACAAAAAATCCACATTTCAGATTTCCATTTCTCCTTTACAATTGGCATATACCTTCCATATTTCAATTATAATCCAAACAGAAATGATTAGCAATTATAATCTCGGGTTCCAAAAGTTGTTAATGATTCAAAAATTAACTAACCATGGTGGGCTTAAATTCCTTCATCTCGAGCTCTTCTTCCTTAAGTTTGAGAAATTCTTTCGTCTCCCGCAGCATCTCCTCTGTCCGTTCATTCTCGAGCTTCAATTCTTCTTCATTCTCCAACTCGTTAGCTGCCATTAGTGATGGGCACCCATGTAGAAGCTTCAATTCTCTGCTAGCGTCTCCAACAGTCATGATGCGACATTTCTCATGGTAATATCATAGGTCTACAATAGGTTGCGTTCATAGTCATCCGACCAATTTGTTCATAAGCTCTTGGTCGGATGACTATGAACACAAGCGATTGCAAGCCTACGATATTACAATGGGCAATGATCGCATCATGATTGTTGATGACGCTAGGAGGAACTGAAACTTCTACATGGGCGCCTATCACTAATGGCAGCTAACGAGTTGGAGAATGATGAAAGATTGAAGCTCGAAAAGGAACGGATGGAGGAGATGTTGCGGGAGAAGAAGGAATTTCTCAAGCTTAAGGAGGAAGAGCTCGAGATGAAGAAATTTAAGCCCATCGTGGTTAGTTAAATTTTGAATCATTAACAACTTTTGGTACTCTAAACTTAAACATGAAAATATAGTCAATCTTCATATATTAAGGCGTAGAATATTTATGGTTTAACTATACTAAACACCTAATTTATAAGTATAATTAATTTTCACTTTATATGATTACTTTACTGCTTCTTGTTTGGTTTGTTGGATGTAAAGGTGAAGAAAGCTAATCCATAAGCCGATTTCAAGGAGATGTCATCTTTGTTGGCCTCGAAATGGAAAACTGTCACTAATGAAGATAAGAAGCTCTATGAAGAAAAATACAAGGCTGAAAAATGAGGCTTATTTGAAAATAATCGGGAATGAAAAGCGCGAGCATGAGGCTATGAAACTCTTGGAGGACGAGCACAAGCGAAAGACCGCCATGGAGAAAAACAAAGATTCTGGGAATGATGCGTACAAGAAGAAGGATTTCGAGACCGCAATTCTACACTATACCAAGGCGATTGAACTGGACGGTGGGGATATATATGTCCTCACTAATCGGAATGTTGTTTACCTCGAGATGGGCTTGTCTGTAAACATATTGTTTGTGTTTGGAAAGAGGCATTTATGATGTATCAAAAATTGATGGATATTGAGCTCTGTTTTCTGATAACTTATTTGTGAATATTTGAAAACATTTTTTCGTTCTTTTTTCTAGTCCTTTTTTTGTTTAGCTGGTGGCTAATTGATATTTTACCTATCAGTTGTTTTGAGATACCATGTGAATCTGTAATGACTAATGCATATATAAACACAATTTATAAAAAACGGTTCTTTTCCGATCATTTTTCAGGTTGATGCAGCTATATATAGCGTTTAGATTGAAGAAAATGATCGATTATCCTTGTGTTTTCTACATCAAAATCTTCTTCTCAATGGTGATTTCAAGATTTCTCGGTGGATGTAGGTTTCTCGGGCAATGTTTTACCCATTTTTTTTCGTTTGTCAAATGAAATACCAATTCCTCATATTTTTAATTTGCTTCTGTATTACAACTTTTATCACCTAACATTCCCTTAATATATCACATTTTTTCAGCTCGCTAAAACTCGAGCTCATTTATAAGGTTCGAGTATCACACAACATTCCCTTAATACTTCATATTTGTTCGGCTTGTTAAAACTTGGGCTCATTTATAAGGTTCGAGTTTCATTTATAAGGCTAGTTAACTTGGCTTGGCTTGATAACATTCCCTTGATATTTCAAGGAAATGCTACAATCCCGTGAAAAATGGTTCTTTCAATTCAAAATAACATTAGATCTTTAGTTTTGATATGGATCGTCAGATGTAGTCAAGCAAAAGTGATGTGACAATTCCTTATTGGAGTTTTATATAAAGGATTGATTGAGTGACACGACTGTAGCATTTTCTTTTTTATTATTCAATAAATCAACTTATAGTTTGCAAATAAATTTATTCGTGTTCTCTATCATATCGGAGAAAAAAATTATTTGAAAAATAGGATTTCTAAAAACCTAATAACATTAAGAATACAAAATAATGTGGTGAGAAATTATTATTTAATTATAACGCGATAGAAAAATATAAAATAATAATTTATAAATAGTGAGTGTAAAATAATATCTATAGATATTTGTATCAATAATTGATTCTTAATCTAAAAATAATATTGCTAAAATTGAAGAAATTAAAAAGAGGAGTGAAATATTATTTTGGAGAAACACCTTGATGAAATTATCAATGCTTTCTTATCATGAAAGTGAAGTAATATAATCTTTTAATTAATTGTAATGAGATTAAAAAAGTAAAATAATAATAAGTAGCTGTTGATTTGTGGTTGTTTGAGTAATAAAGTTTATAAAAAAATATATAGTAATCATTAATTTTTAATTTAATAATTATATTTTAAAAATGAATAATTAAAAAAAATATATATCAATTGCTTCCTAATATCATTACATTTTTAGACAGCTCTTATTCGAACGTCAAACAAGAACTGTGAAATCCAATTAATATTGGGATGGTAGGGTCGTCGTGGCCCAACCATCACGACATTCTTATTACTGCGGGAACGGTGACGCTGGAATTCCTTCTCTCCGAATATTTAGAATGTGAATTTTGGGGAAAATATTTGAGATGTCGATTTGGGATGATATTTTGAGAAAAATTGATCTTTGCGAAAGAGCAGAATTGTCATTTTTTCAAAGGAACTACTTTATGAGAAAGAAGAAGAGATATATGGAGGAGGACGGTAAAAAAAAAAAAAACCAGACTTTTTAAACTAAAAGAGTCCACAAAAAGAGTATAATTGCAAACAGAAAGACAACTGCATCTAAATAATAAAAGGGGGTAATTATATAAAGGAATTTATGTGTACATAATATTATATATAGGGGTGTACTTAACACTCACATTGAGTGGACCTACCAAAAATAAAAAATCAAGTGGACCATATAGGCCCAAAAATATATGGGCTCTGGGCCATACAGTACAATACTAGCCATCTGACTTTCATAGTTGCATTTAAATCTAAATTTATTAAATTATTAAAAGAAACAAAAAAAAGGTCTACAACAGTCTAGTTCGTTTTAATGAAACTTTATTGCACATTTTCAACGTGCAAAATATCACTTGCTTGGACTTTTATATTTTCCCCTTTCAATAATTTTTAAAATCTTGTTGGGTTAAGCTTTTTAATGAGATATAGATATAGATGAGTTAAGTTGAATTGCTTTTGATAATTACAACATTTATGTACACAAAGTCCATGGAAATAAAATCTTCAAAATTAAAAAGAGCGTTTGGATGAGATGATTTGAGTCTCTTCCAGCTTAACCAGTGGTCTCATGTTCGAGCACTGAGAATGCAGCAGTCTTAAAACTCTTGAGGGAAAGCTTTGTCGCCCTTGTGATCCTACCCAGCTCGATTCTGGATTAACCGGTTCCCCTGTAGATCCGAAAACCGGAAGATCTTTGTACCAAAAAAGAAAAAAAAGAAGCATTCAATTCCCATACATTGTTATCAGTAGCCTTTTTTTCATAATTATGAAGAATCAGGTAAGAGTGGCACAAGTTATGATGCACTTTGAAAATCTACAATTTTTCTTCATTTTGTCAACTTTTATTGGGATATTTCACATGTTTAATTTTTTTTTAAAAAAAAAATGGAAATATTTGTGATGAAAAGATAACTCTCCATGACATGCCCACATGACTTGTATTAAAATGTCTACTTACATTTCATAATATGAAAATGTATTTTTATTAAAGAAAATAATAATAAGACCCCTACTAATTTCCATTATTACTACCAACAAATTTTGGCCGAGTTCCGAGTCTATAACATGTTCAATTATGCTAAAATCTTAGAAAATTACATAAAAACTTATATTTTAGTCAAGTACATTAACTAAAAGAGCATTGGTGTTGAGCTCGACTTATTTAGTCTGAGCTCTAGCCTTAACGAACCAAACAAAACTCAACTCATGAACAACTCATTAACTAAATGAGCTTTTCGAGCCGAACTCAACTCATATATCAACCGAACCAAACTCGTATTATAACGAATCAAACTTACGAATGATTTGTTTTATTCATCATTCTACCGATAAACCCCTAATTTGCTTAGAACACCCTTGTCCTCTTCCCCCATTCAACCCCATAAAGCTCAATTGCATAAATGATCGAAAATCCTTCAATCCCTCTTTAGAAATACGAACCAAACAGAATCGAATTCACAAATAGCTTATAACTAAAATTAAAACAAGTTCGAACTTAACTCATTTATATTCTCCCACTCAATACCATAAAGCTCAATTACATAAATGATCGAAAATCCTTCAATCCCTTTTTAGAAATACAAACCAAACAAAATCGAATTCACAAATAACTTATAACAAATCAAAACGAGCTCGAACTCAACTCATTTATAAACTACACCAGTCCCAAGCCAAATGTTAACTAATCAGAGTTTAATCGACACGTTTCGTTTATACTATCAGGGCTCATTTACTAGCGTGGATTGGATTGGATAAGGTTGGTTAACCAACCTTATCA